TGTGTTGTTTATATATCCTTGCACATACATTGCCTATATCTCATTATTAGGATATATATTGTTGTTCATATTGCTTATCCTAGCTCATAAAATTGTTGTATTTTATACTTGCTAGGATAACTTATTAATTAATTTTAATTGGCATTTAATCGGATTAGATTAGCATAAGACCCTAATCACCCCCCCTCTAGGGTCTAACAATTGGTATCAGAGCTTGGTGCTCTTTGATTTAAGGTCTAATCGCCTTGAGTTAAAGATCCAAGTTATCTTTTTGTGCTAATCTTGTTTTGATTGCATTTGTATCTTGCTTGCATATTTTTACAAATTATGGATATGAATGATGCATCTTGTTTAGGCTATGATTCTAGTATTGCTCCTAAATTCAATGCTTTCCCTTATGCTCAATGGTGTTTTAGATTCAAAATATTTGTTCAATCTAAAAATATCGATTTATGGGAAATCATTGATTGTGCTTATATTGTGCCCACGTTGGAGAAATCCAAGTGGAGCAAACATGATAAAAAGATGTTTATTATGAACAAGCTTATGTTAGAATTTTTATTAAATGCATTTGATTCATTTATGTCTAACAAGCTTGATTCTTTTGATAGCGCTTATACATTATGGAAATTCATAGAAGCGCATCAAGGAGACTTGGAGGCGATCCGACAAGCTTTGGAGGATCCCGCTTCAAGTTCAAAAGGGGCATCATGCACACGGCCACTAGGCGATAGCCCTAGTGAGGTTTGCGAGTTCGAATCTATTAATGATTTACATAATGATGAACTTACTTGTGCTAGTGATAAATTATTGCATGCCTACAAGAAATTGCAAAATGATTTCATTAATCTTAAAAGCAAGCATGAAATTTTAAAATCCGATCATGAGTCTTTAGCTTCTAAGTTTGATACTATTTCTAATGAGAATATGATCCTTAAAGAAAATAATGAAAAATTAAAATTGGATCATGATTCTTTAATTTCAAACTTTGGTAAGTTAACTCATGAGAAAGATAATGCCATGTTAGAAGTAGAGAACATAAAAAATAATACAGCTTCTTTTATAAATAACTATTTATGTTCTACTTCTAATTTTGTGAAAATATTATCTTATTAGTTTATAGACTTTAATATCAGTTTATACATGTTTTACTAAGTCTATAAAAACATTTCACAAAGTTTCAAAAGTTGGTTTATGTCAAAACATTAAAATTCAAGTATCTCGTATTTTCATGTTTTGGACTATTTTGTAAAATAATGATATTTTTCATTTGGGAAGTCCTTTTTGGAAACCAGTCATTGTAGCATGTTTATTATCATGTCTACAATCATTCCCCAAAGTTTTACATTTTTTGGAATTTATTTGATATTTTTAAACAGTGTTTTAAAATTAGTAAACAGTTTTTCAAAACCTGTATTTCATGTATCAGTTCACGGTCGACCGCGCCTGAGTCTTTTGCATAGTGTGCAGCAGAAACTTTCACGGTCGACCGCCACGGTCGACCGTCAGCTGAGAATTTCTCGCGATTGACCACCGCGGTCGACCGTAGAACTCTCTGGAGTTTTCTGTTGATTTTTTGTTGCTCGCGGTCGACCGTCGCGGTCGCCCGCCGCTCTGTCAGATCAGTCCCAATGGCTAGTTTCCAGAGCCGTCGTAGTGTGATTTTTTAGTCTTTTTCTTGCCTTTCTCTTAGCTTTGGGGTTTGTATAAATACCCCCTTTTACCTTCAGCTCTATAGACAACAAGAGAATGTTTTAAAGAGTTTAAAAAAGAGTTTAAGCTTGTTTCAAGCTTGTTTAAGGGTTTGGTTTATGAAGAAAGTTTTACAAGAGCTTGAGGAGATTATTAATTGTATTTTAGGCATTCAATCCATCTCTCTCTCTTGTCATCTAGAGAAGTTTTCCCAAACTCAACTCTAGCTTTTATTTATAATTATTTGTTGATTATCATTTCTATTAAAGCTAGTTTTATATTGAGTTTAGATTTGATTTTATCTCATTGTTATACACACCCACTTGAGCTTATTGTATTTGCATACATAGTATATTAGGGTTGTGAGGAGTTGTAACATTAATAACATTGAGTTGTGCTTAATTGAGTTCTCATCTATTGTAGAGAACAAATTTATATTTGTTACATTGTGAGTGTTGTTAGGTTTTCGGTGAGCTAGAAAACCGAGTGTGTTGTTGTGAAGTTTTCGGTGAACTAGAAAACCGAATGTGAGGAGTGAACGTTGATCGGTGAACGTTAAAAACCGACATTGTGAGTGATTGTATACGTTGATCGTTGAGCGTTGAAAACCGACACTGTGAGGTGTAAACGTTATTCGGGTGAGCGTAGAAAACCCGGTTGTGATAGTGGATTTCTCCCCAGGAGTAGGGAGCGGAGACGTAGGACGGAAGGTCCGAACTCCGTGATCATTTCATTGTGTTTGTGCTTTGGCGTTTATTTATATTTGTGCTCATTGCTCATATCGCCATTGTCTCATTATTTATATGATCCACTATCTAGCTCATATTGTTTACCCCTTTGTGTTAGTTTCATATCCTTGCATATATCTTGTTGTATATATCCTTGCATATATATTTCATCATATAGGATATATCTTATTGTTTACATTTCTTATCCTAGCTCATATATCTTGTTGTATTTCATACTTGCTAGGATAACTTGTTAATTAATTTTAATTAACATATAATCGGATTAGATTAGCATAAGACCCTAATCACCCCCCTCTAGGGTCTAACACATTCAACCGACGCGCTCCAAGTTCAGTTGCCGCCGACACTTTGCTGTACAGGGCCCTTCAGTAAAGCCCACCGCCCGCATTTCTCCCAACAGCAGCCGAGGTTGCCGCCCCCGTCGCCAGCAGGCCTCCCACCTCCACCCTCTGTCGACCCCCAGGCCATCGATCGCCGGACTGAGCACAACAAACGCTGGCCTCCACCAGCCACCACCATTATCGCAGCTAATCACCACCCGCGTGATCACCCTCTTCACCGCCGTTCGTAGCCCCTCGACATCCCCAAACCCGGGAACCTTGCTGCCTCTCCCTTCAACTATCGCTGCTGCCCGCCGCAGATCCGTAGTGTCACACGTCGACGTCGATTCATTCGACGAACTGAGGCAAGATCTTCCCTCTCCTTTTTATCGTTTTAATATTTACATTTTATGTGCGTAAATTAATTGTATTATAATTAACTGCGTGAGCCATTGGTGAATGTTGATTTGAATTATAGATGTGTGATGAGTAGTATTTTCGGAATAGTTGTCATAAATTAAAAGAATTTATTTGGTAACAGAATTATTTTAAAGAATGTATTTAAAAAAAATTATTTCGAGGAAAAAGAATTATTTTAGAATATTATTTTGAAATGACAAGTGAGGTGTTAAAATTAGAATTTACGTAATTTTATCGAAAAGAAATTAATTAAGGGAAATTTATAAAATAGAAAAATATTACTTTTCATGCAGGAAGGAATTAAAATATTTTTATTTTAAATTAGTTATAATGAGAAATAGTTTTAAAGAATAATTTTGAAAAAAAGAATATTATTATTATTATAGTATGACTGATCGTCGTAGAGCGCGATATTTCATGTGCAAAACAACATCGGTTTCTAGTTTTCTTTTAACGAATTATTATATTAGAGAATACTTAAGTACAGATAACTTGCGTGAGGAGTTTTGATATTCCAGTAGTGATGTAGTCCCTTATGAATGTAGTCATGCTGTAGTATTTGTTTATGCATTTCATGTTCATTATAGTTCTTATTTCTGCTACATAAACCTGCGTAATCATGTTTAACATACTATACTATATTCATGATCTGTTGATGTATTGAGAACCTTAGTAGTTCATGACTTAGTGGCCTCGTGCGTCATAAACAAACTTAGTGACATATGTAAGTGCGTTGACTGAGTTAGGTAGTGAACCCGAGTTTCAGTGAAGATTATGGTTGACTGAGAAAAACGAAAAGAGTTGGGTTGGGAAAGTCTTAGTTCGCATGATCGAATGTGATTTTTGGATTTCACGTGTCATTTGTAGGTTTTGAAATTTCAGGATGGTTTTGTAATTCTAAACTATGGAGGGTGTTTTTCTAAAAATTTAAAACTTTGAGGGTGTTAATTGCAAATTTTAAATTTATAGGGGACTATTAAAATTTTTTAGATTTCATATGTCATTTGAAAGTTTAGAAAACTCTAAGATTGTTTGGTAATTTTAAAGTATTGAGGGTGTTTTTCTCACTTTCTACAACTTTTAAGGGTATTTTTTGCAAATTATAAAATTTTAGGGTGCTGTTGGTAATTTTTGAATTTCATGTGTCATCTGCGAGGTTAGAAAATTTTGATAGTTTTTTTTATAATTTTTAACTCTTGAGGACGTTTTTATAATATTTTAAACTTTGAGGGTGTTTTTTGCAAATCTCAAAATTTTAAGAGGTTGTTAGTCATTTTAAGTGTTTTTTATAATTTTTAACTTTTAAAAATAAGTTTTGTAATTGTTGAAGCGTTGATGGTGTTTTTAAAACAATATCCATCTAAACGGGCAAATGAGTGGGTAATAACCCGCCCATTAATGACCCATTTATCTTTAATAGAAACTATACCCGCCCATTTATGGCCCATTTATCTTTAATAGAAACTATACCCGCCCATTTATGGCCCATTTAACTAAATGGGTGAGTTTGGATGGTTCATTTGGCGGGTGAGTATGGATAGGCAATTGGTTTTGGATCCATTTTGCCATCCGTAGGCTTAGGCAACGGTCTAGTCATTAACGGTCTAGTCATTTAATTTTGGTCTGAATTGTTATGCTAGGCGGAGTGCTACCTAGAGCTGACCGGCCCGCCTAGCTTTTTAAATCTAGAGAAATAAATAAAAATGAAGAAACTGCTAAGAAACTGGCCCAGCCCGACCCAATTCAGGTCCAATTGTTAAAAAAACCGTGTCTAAACAAAATCCGACCAGCAAACCCAAACCCGACCCGCTACCTATCAAAACACAAATCTGAGCCCTCTCCGCCTCTCGATCTTTGCCCCAACCCGAACCCTAATCTCTCTCCGACCCTCCCTAGCCCGATCTGTTCGGCGCCGCCTCCTCCTCCTCTTCACCGCCGCCTCATCCTCTTTGTCGACTCACCCTCTCTCGAGCACCGCCAGCCCTCCTCAACCACTTCGGCCACCACGTCGACCACCTCCTCCTCTTCTTTTCAAGTCAACTTCTTCAAGGTAATATTTTCGATTTTTTTCGCTGTTTTTTCTCACTGTTTTGCTTTGCTTTTTGGTTAATTTTCCACTTTTTTTAGTTAATGTTTGGGGAAATTCATACTAAATGTTGTAAGGATGTTCTTGAGCCATAACGGGGAAGAAGAGAACAAAATTTTGCTTCTTTCTTTTCATACTAAAGTTTGGAGAAATTCAGACTAAATTGTTATAATCATATTCTCGTTTTTATATGCTACTTTCCATTATTCACTATCCACTAGGGCGTGTTTGGTTCACCCTAAATTATTGGGAACAATGTGTTTTTTAGGATTTGGAACAAAAAGTAGGTTTTTTTTTACCATTTTAGAATTCCAAAAGTTGGGTTTGTTTCAAATTTTTTTCAAGAAAAAGTTTCTTAAAAAGCCTCTAAATAGTGACATTTTTTGGATAGCCTATTTCCTATCTTTTTGCTAGGAAATGGGCTAGAAAGCTGACAACTTGCTGACAACACATCATTTCCTCTCACAACTCTTCTTATTATTTGGAAATGAAACAAACTTGAGTTTTGGATATGCTTTCCTATTCTTTACTTTATAATTTCATATCAAACACAAGTTTTGGATTCCTTAAATATCCTAAAAAAAATATAAATTTGGTTTCTTGTCAGGGAATTCATTTCCATAATTTTATGGAAATGAACCAAAGAGCCCCTAAATTGTTTTAATCATTTTCATATGCATTTTGTGCATAAGGATTGGTGTGGTAGGAAGCATGGTTTAATAATTAATATATAGAAGGCTGAATAGAATATGTTTTTGGCAATTATTATAATTAAATAATTTAAAAAATAGACAAATGCCTAGGCGCTAGCTTAAATGCCTAGTCCGCCTAGCACTTTCTGTAAGATTGTTACAAATAGCTCATTGCAAAAACCGAAAATTCTAAACAACACCTTTTAAAATCTAAAAGTTGGAAACAACTTCCTAAAAAATCCACAAATTATACAGCCTGAAAATAATAAACAACCATATTTAGGGATTAACTAGCAAAAATTATTAGGACTTAAGTGACAAAACTGAAACTTAGTAGGTGTTTTCATCCAAAATTTATTGGGATATTTTGATCATTTGACCATATATTAACTAACAATGTTAATTTTAGAAACTTTCTACCAAAAGTTTTTGGGGTTTTCAGTGAGAATTTCGAAGGTATTAGAGATCAATGTTAAATGCCTAAACTTATTGGGTGTTTGGTAAAGTTTACTCATATTTTACTTTTTATGGAGAAGATAGAAATTGGTGGTTACACGCAAATATCTTATATTTATTGAAGAACATATTACAATATCTTATTCTTATATTTACTAAAGAACATATTCGTGGTTACTATGGTTACAACATACATTGATTGCTAAATTAAAATGAGAATTAAAATCCTAAATGGACAGAAAAATCGAGTGAAACGTAATAAATAAAGAAAATTTGGATCTGTAAGTCTATTAGCGGAAAAATAAATTGAACTACGTGAAAGAGTAGAGATGGAAAAAGATACGGTTTAAATCCTCCTTTATTTAAAAAAAAGAAATTTGTGATTTGTTAGTAGTCTTACATCTCAAGAAAAAATCACATGTCACTTCGTACTTTGAATTTGAAAATTTGAGATAAAGCCATCTATGTTCTTATTAAGTGAGGTAGTGTTTTCTTTTGTTTTAATTTGAAATATTATAAGATAAGGGAAAAGATGATGCTTAAGACATCTAATTTGAATTTCAAATGTTCATATAAAAATTATCTTCATCCTTATTTTGTATTCCCTTTATGGGCTATTTAGTTCGCATCATAGAAAGATGAATTTGGTTTCTATGCTTGCCACATCATCTTTGGTAAGCTCAGGACAAGAAAGGTTTACATTTTCTGTATTTGATTGGTTTGATAATTTATGTAAAAGAGGTATTGAATAGCTCTGTCGCGTCAGTTTTTTCATGAAACCCATTTTAGCTCTAAAACATCGGAAATGGTTTTCAAGCTGTGAAATAGGTTTCAAGTGTTATTAATAAACTAAACAACCCCATATAAGGAAAAAAATTGGCTCAAGTTATCTCCTTTTGAAGAATTAGCAACAGTACAAAGAATTTTTTTAGTACAATTTAGTTTTTAAAGAAACCATATCTTATCGTGCGAGCACGGGCATTACACTTGTTTTGGGTTGATGATTGTTAGATATGTTAGCATTTAGGGAAATGTTTTTTGTAAAACTTCTTCTGAGTTCTTTGATTAACTTGCGTGTATGAATGTTTATTATCATACATTGTCACATGTGATTATAGAGTATAGTACACTAATTGTACTTGGTCCATTAAAAAAAACTTGGCTTTGCCACTTATTCCCAACACACGTTTGAAATTTGATTACATGGGCTTGGTTCATAATTCGAATCATGATGAGCAGGTAAACCCAACCCAATTCGCAACCTTTGGGGTTGGGGCCCCTCTCTCTTCATACTCCATCAAAATAAAATCCCAAAAACGAGCTAGGACATTTCCATACTAATAATTGTACTTCATCCATCTTTAAAAAAATCTTGACTCTGCCACTTATTCCCAACACACATTTGATATTTGGTTACATGGTCCCGGTCCATAATTCGGATCATGATGAGCAGGTAGACCCAATCTAATTTGCAACCTTTAGGGTTAGGACCCCTCTATCTTTCATACTTCATCAAAATAACATCCCTAAAACAAGCTAGGGCATTTCTAGATGAGGAGAGGAGCGTTAGAGCGAGACCAAATGAGTGATCTTGAGGTAATAATAATAGCATCAGTGAGTGTAATTAGCATTCAATAAATTTTAATAAAAATGCCACCTTTCTTCTTCTTCTTCTTGTATTGTCCTCAACTCATCTCCTTCAGTCGAAAACCTAAACGGAGAGAGGAAACATGAAACCCTAGGAAAGATGAGATAATTATATATGAGAAAGATTCCTACTTGTGTGTTCTGTGCATGATTACCTGCAGGAGTGTGAGAGATTTGAGTGCGAGAGAGAGAAAGTGTTGAAAGGGAGAGAAATTTCAGTTAAAGAGCGAGAAGAGAGATCGAGAGGCAGGAAAGGAGCCACCTTTTCTTTTTTTTGTTGTGTTACTAGGTGAAGAACAGTGAAAACAGAGAGATCATTCTTGTTCTGGGTCAAGCACAATGGCCACCAAACTCGTGGTTAGTATGTTTCTTCTTCTCAAATTTCATTTTCTCTTATACTATTGCATTTTCTTTGAAGAATAATGTTTGTCTTATGGTTTTTTAGGTTCTTGGAATCCCATGGGATGTTGATACTGAAGGGCTCAAGCAGTACATGAGCAAGTTCGGGGAGTTAGATGATTGCATCGTCATGAAGGTCTGTCCATATGTTAGTTTTTGTTAGTTTTTGACTTTTATTATGAAAATTTGTAAAATCTGTATACGTAAGTCATTTGCTTGATCATACCTACCTTATTTGGAGGAGCTTAAAAACTAGTTTTTTTTTTCAAAAGTTGGAAAAACCCTAATTTTTTGGAATGGGGCTTCAAAGCAAATCTATTTGGGATGTTACCAAATAATTCAATGTGGAAAAGCTAGTTTAAAAGCTTCGTTGATCAAAATAATAATCCTCCAAATACTTTCAACATATCTTGGTATTTCCATGAAAGCTTCTTCATATCGTGAAAGATGAGGGGGGAGGGAGATGGCTTTTTGGGGCTCCGTATATCTTTTTTTGATGTGATTTCTAATAGAGTTTTTCATCTTGATTAATAGGACATTGTCCACTACCACTCTACTCCAAAAATCTGCTCATGGACCAATTTCCCTATTGGAATTAGTATAAGTTTGAATTGCACTTAAATGCCCTATAGTTTCCCCCATATTGCACTTAAATGCCCTATAGTTTCCCCTACATTGCACTTAAATGCCCTATAGTTTCAATCCGTACAAAAAAATACCTTCAAAAGTATTTAGTGTTGCATGTGGATACCCCATAGTCAGTCATAAGAAGCGAGATGGAGATATCTTCTCTCTTTTCTCTACATCAGATTACAGAGGGTACTAAAGTGAAGCTCTTAGAAAATTTGAGGTATCTTAGTGACACTATTTGCAAACTTTAGGGTATTTATATGCAATATTGGGTAAATAAGAGGATACTAACGTGCAACATTTTGAAACTGGGGCATTTTTTACGCAAAACTTAAAGTACTTTGGGATATTTTTTTTGTTTGGTTTGAAAAAAGAGGTCACTTAAGTGTAAGGCCGGGTAAACTATAGGGCATTTAAGTGCAATTAAGCCTTAGTGTAACAATTTAACAAGTTCCAACAGTCCATTATCTCCATTCATTGAGATAATTGTGCTGGTGGATTTGATCATATTGACCAAGTCAGATAACATCTCCTACTTGACCAAATTAACTTAGTAATATGCCTCATATTACCCATAAGATCCAGATGTTTCTTCTAGAATCCCAGAAGAGTAATTCTTATTTCATTGTTCATGAAATTTAATTTGACTTATTTATTTCTATGTCCCATTAAACTGACGTGTTTGATAAAAGATTTCGCTGATATTCCTTCTGTCAAAGGATCAACAATCATGTTTGTAGAAGGGATGTAAGTCACTTTAACTTCTCCATTTAGTACAATATCTTGCATATAATGATATTGGATCTCAATATGTTTTCCTTCAGAACTATTCGCACCACTGTTGATCAGGCTAATTACCGCTTGGTTATCAGTTATCACAGTAAATATCAATAGGTCTTTCGAACAAGTTGAAATCTAGATCAATTAAAAACTGTATTATCTAGATAGCATGCATAACTTGCATGCTGCATAACTTGCATGCTGAAAGCTACATATTTTGCTTCTTATGTGTATCTAGCAACACACCCCTGTTTCTTGCTACTCTAAGAAAATTTTCTAAAGATGAACAAGTGTCTCGAAGTGGACTTTCCATTATCTTTGTCACCTTTGAAATCAGCATCATGGTAATTGAGGACTTCAAGGGAACTTGCTTGATATACTAATATGTGAGTCAATATACCTCTAATATACTTCATAATTCTTTTAATAACTTTTTGTGTGCTGGGCCTGATTATTTTGCTATCGACTAACCAAACTTACAACATAAGCTAATCGCGTCTGGTGCATGACATTGCATACATCAATCTTTCAACTGCTTTAGTATAAGGACCATCTAGTGTCTTCTGCCCCTCTCTAGGGTTTTGTTTTTTGTACAATCTCTTTCCCATAATCAATTGAGTTGGTGCAGGAATGAAATTCTCTATTCCAGACATTCTAAGAATTGATCTTAAATATTTTTTCCTAGTTTAAACTCAACAATATAGACTTCTTATCTCGGATTATTTGAATTTCAAGAATATAAGATGCATGTCCCGTGTCTTAAACTTTTTCACTGAGATCAGACTTTTTTTGTTCATCATTTTCGTGTTATTTCCAACGAGCAATATATCATCCACATGCAAGGATAATATAGTAAACTTGCTCCCACTTTTCAAAACATATATACAGTTATCTAATTTGTTCTGAATAAAATTTTGAAATACCATTGTCTAGAAGACTTTTAGACCATATAGAGGTTTTACTAACTTATAAACTTTATATGCCTGACCTTTCACCTGAAAACATTCGGGTTATTGTATATGTATCACTTCCTTCACCTCTGTTAAAGAAACTAATTTTAGCATCCATTTGGAATAACTCCAAATTTAGATATGTAACAGTAGCAAAAATGATTCTAATATTTATAAATTTAGCTACAAGAGAATATGTTTTTGCCAAAGCCAAGTCTTCTTGGAAAATGATTTATGGTTTGAAATTCTTTTTTCTTTGTATGAATGTTATATTCGTGTTTTTTCGACTTTTGCAGATTGCTTGGTGACAAGGAATGGTGTATGACCTCTATTTTTATTTTACCTGACTTTTCTGAATTATGGTTTTGAATTGTTTATATGATGTTGTTGATTGTAGTTCTTCAACCTTCTTTTTTCCTCGTTGATAGTGAAAACTTAATGTAGACAAGAAATGGTGTATGACCTCTGTTTTTATTTTACCTGACTTTTCTGAATTATGGTTTTGAATTGTTTATATGATGTTGCTGATTGTAGTTCTTCAACCTTCTTTTTTCCTCGTTGATAGTGAAAACTTAATGTAACTATTTTTCTGGTGTCATATTGACCTGTTATGGTTGAGACATTTGACATGTTTTTATGTTGTAACAATAGGAAAGATCTAGTGGTCGATCTCGTGGCTTTGGTTATGTGACATTTGCTTCAGCAGATGACGCAAAGGTAACTTTTTTAGAGTTCCATTCATTATTTGTTGATATTTGATTTTGCTCTAGTTGATTGAGCATTAAGACTGGCATATTGTATCATACATGTGAAGTGGGTACTGTGGTGATGGTTTTTTCTGGCATTTTATTAGGTGATCATTTAAAAGTTGTGGTGATTTGATTTTAGTATCTTGAATTATTTCCAATGAACTAATTCAGTGCTGTGATTATAATTGTAATGTATGGTGTATCATAGTTACAAACACCATAAATTCTCATGCTTAAGTTTTTTGGGAATGGTCTATGCTGTTGTACACACTCACACAAGGGGTTACTTTTCTAGAACGTTTTATGTGGACATCTTGTAAATTCTTTTTTCCTTAAGGGGTTGTTTGGATGTTTGTGTAAACTTGTGTTATGAGCATGACACATATTGGAAAGTTTGACATCCACCTCAATATTTCGCTTTTATTTTGTTTGGTTTGGATTCCATTGGAATGATCAATTGACAATCTTTGTTTGGTTTGCACAATGAAATGTTGGAAAGTGATAGTTATGTGGATCCCACTCAATTGGATCATACTACCATAGGCAGAGTTACCTGTAACTCTATAAAAGACAAGGAATTTAATAAACAAATGATATGATCATTATAAAAGACAAGCTCCTTGCATCTTATCCACAACATCCCAATCATATTCTTGATCCTCAAGAACACAAACAATCAACTCATCATCATAAACAAACAACAATATGGTTAGCTATGCCGCAAATTCTTTATATCTATTTGACGGATGAATGTAATAACAAAATAAATAAAGGAATTGTCTTATCTGCCATGATAGAAATTTGTATAACATGTATAAAACTTAATCATGACAATAAATTAAGAAAAAAAATGAAACAACAAATGGGTAAGTGGAATCAACATATGGGTAAGCAACAATGAGACCAAAAACTGAGTGATCGTTTTCTATTTTCGCTGGAACAACATAAACCACACAAACTTGACATTAAGACGAAAATAATGAACTTCACTAAAGTTGTTAGAGGGAGGGAGGGAGGGAGAGAGGAGTGCCATGATTTGGACAGACTTGACATTTAGACGAAAATAATAAAATTCAGTTAAGTCGTCAAGAGGGGGAGAGAGAGAAGGTAATGTGGCTCAGCGATTAGGGAGGTGGTGGGGTTTGGAGGAGAAGGGAGGAAGTGCACTAGGAGGGGATGTCAAGGATGGAGGGCGACAATGACGACATAGGACGAGGTGGTTGGGTTGGGGCTTTTGCCAGCATTGAGGTTGGGCGGTGAGGTTTTGGGGCACAGAAATTAGGGAGAGGGGTTAGGGATTTAGAGGGATATTTTGAAAAGAAGTGAGCGAAGGGGGTTTGGGTTAGTTGCCTTTTTTTAAAATTTTTAATTCTTTTCTCTAGCAAGTTGGCGCTTTCTACCGAAATCATGTGACTTTTGTTGGATTTCTTATCGTCGTGAAACCCAACCAAACAAATGAAAACGCGGAAAGCTAAAGCAGAGCCCACATATTTTCCACTTTCCATTGTCTTCCTTTACAAAAAATGCAAACTAATAGCTCCTCAATCAGATGACGTTTCTAACAGTTTCTAGCATGTGGTTTTCCTTGCTTGTGCAATGCCATCACAATGTTTTCATCTTAAAATACTTTTCTTATGCAGGCTGTACTGGAAAGTGAACATGTTCTTGGAAACAGAACACTTGAGGTGAAGATTGCAACGCCAAGGGTAAGTTGGAAGTTTTGCCTTTTTGTTTAAGCTGAATTGTAAAGTATGTATCTTTCCCGTTCAATTGGCCCTGTGCATAAAGACATAGGATATATATAATTGTCATATTTCTCTATTTACAGGAAGAAATGAGGCAGCCAGCCAAAAAAGCAACTCGAATTTTTGTAGCTAGAATCCCACCCGATGTTACAGAGGCAATGTTCCGAAGGTAGGTTTCTTTATCCAGTTGATGGATATTGCTTTATTATTCAAGTGTGTTTACTTTGATATGTTAAATTACTTTTTTAATCAACTTTGGAATTTTCACAGTTACTTTGAATCTTATGGAGATATAACAGACCTTTACATGCCAAAGGTGAGAATAAACAAGAACTCAATTCTTCTACCATAGATGCGGTTCAAGAATAATCTTGTTATCTGTTTGATTCATTTTCTGCGTATCTTTATATACTAGTTTTTCATTTCTCCCTCTACATATTAATTCACCTAGTCCTTTCCATATGATCTTTAGATGTGGACAGGGTAGCATAATTTGAAAGAGATAAAGAGGTGCTGCATATTGAAATTATTTGAAGTCTAGACATGAAAAAAAGACTAGATATGTGCTATTGGTCAATATATATATTTTTCGATTTATCTTATATCTAGTAATCATCTACAATATGCTGTTGTTGCTTGGGTTTTTGTTGGAGTACCTTAAAACATTAAATGATTTATAATGTTACTGTGTCAGGAGACAAGATAATAAATTTACGCATATTACTGAGGGAGCTATGAGCGAATGATAATTTGGCAAATCACACATGATGGAAAATGATATTTTGTAGCTATTCATTTCAAAAAATTTCTTTCTTATATTAACCATAGTGAATGCTTTTCTTTGTTTGATATAGTGATATAGTTCTTATAAGTTGACATTGTGATTTCAGGACCAAGGTTCAAAAGGACATCGTGGGATTGGCTTTATCACTTTAAAGGCAGTACAGCTATTTCCACCCCTCACCCCCCACCCCCCCCCCCCCCAAAAAAAAAAAAAAAAAAAACAACAACCCCCTTCCTTTCTGTCTCCTCCAGCCTTCCCTCTTCCCCACCAATCTCCACTGCACCACACACCACGCAAAGACAAAAATGTCTTTGTTGTTGCAATTTCATGTCATTTTGTTGCTGCCATGCAATGTGATTAATGGAGTAGTCTCCCTATTGGCTATTATATTGTGCGTTGCTTTGTTACTTTGATATGGAAAAAACGAAAACTTGATTCACTTTTGTTGACATAGTGTAATTTTTTATTCTAAAACCCTCAATTGGGTACAGCCTATGCCGTATAGGGATTCTCATGCCTTTATGTTCTGAGCTTTCAGTGAGTTACTAGAGGACTTCAATGTTCAGCTTGTCTTAATTTGAAACATATTCTGAGCTGTTATGTTAACATTGCTTTATGTGATAGTTAAAAGACAAAGCTTATCCCATGCATATAATGTCGATAAGTAACACTCAAATGTCAAAGACTCAAAATTGTCCCCAAGAATTGTCAAAAAGTGTTCGAATATAAAAAGGTTCTCAAGCACGTGTTGCATGCATTTTCTTCATTAACAACTGGAGATGTTGGGGAGCATTGGATACTGATGCAGTTTCTGTGCGACAGTTGGATATCGAATGCATTAGCTGTTAGTTTATAATTTAATAATGGATGATATACTGAAGTATACTCGAGTTAAGTGGGCAGCAAGTACTTTGTTTTTTTTAATGCGTGACCTCTCTGATATCTATCGAGAAGAGGGTTACATTTAGCATTGAAGTGTTACACATATATTATTTTATGGTTATGGTACTTTCTGTTCCCATTTTTTTCGAAGACTCATTTTGAGCCATCAACGAAAATGTCTTCAATGTAAATCCAAAAGAATCTAGGATACTGATGGCTATCTGATTGGATGTGCATACTTATATCACTTATGCATGTGAACTTGGTCAATCACGGATCAGTGTACATAATCCGTGGCAAGATGAAATTATGTTCAGATCAATACTTTTTCCAACAGTTGAGTGCATGTTTGGATTCATTTTCTACTATTTATGTTCCGTGTTCTTGGACCTTTGCATTTCCACAATTTAATGTCCAACTTTCATGCATACCCATGAAATTATTCTATGATTTATTTGCTTTGTTTTTCATGTTATTTATTTCTTTGTTGCCCTTTCCCTAAACCTGGCCTTACTTGACCTTTTGATTTAATAGAATCTGTCGATACCATAATGAATGAGACTCATGAACTTGGCGGTTCCACTATAGTTGTCGACCGTGCTACTCCAAAGGTAAACAATTATGCATGTTATCTCTTTGCTGAGGATCTTCTCATAATTTCACTTGGCTAGTCTACAGCAAGGATGTTTCTCATTGTTATCTTGTTTATAAGGGTGGTGTAAATTCTGCTTTTTCTGGCTTTTAGGATGAAGACGTCAAGTATCCAAGCAGAGCAGCACAGGGTGGATACGGTGCATACAATGCTTATATTTCAGCTGCCACTCGTTATGCAGCTCTTGGAGCTCCTACGTTGTACGACCACCCTGCTTCAGCTTATGGAAGTTAGTTCCTCCCCATTATCTTTATCCTTTCCTAATAATTCATAAATGTATCCATACACAAATATATCATATTGACATTAAAAGCAATTGCTTTGTTTCCATGACCAGGAGGTTTTTATGGGCCTCCTCGTGGGATGGGCAAGAAGATTTTTGTTGGAAGACTTCCTCAGGAGGCAAGCGTTGATGATTTGCGCCAATATTTTGGCAGATTTGGCCGTATTTTGGATGTTTATATCCCTAAGGTGAAAATAAAGTTGTAGTTATATGAAATTAATTGATCAGGTTTCTAATGCTAATAATGCGTCATAATTCAATCAGGACCCGAAAAGAAGTGGTCATAGGGGCTTTGGTTTTGTTACTTTTGCTGAGGATGGTGTGGCAGAGCGTGTATCTAGACGCACTCATGAAATTCTTGGACAAGAGGTACTCAACTTAAGATATATGAACAAATATCTGGGAATAAGAGCCAACTAGATTGTTAGGGATCTTTACTATGTGTTGTATTCATTTAATTTGCTAGGGATCTTTACTATGTGTTGTATTCATTTAATTGTCATGAATTAGGAAATCATCAGAGTTTATAATTTATTATGCTTTGGATCCAGTGTTAAACTGACAAGTAACAATTATGGTTTGCAGCAGCAAAAACAAACTACCAATTAAAATTTTCCATCCTGATATATGCTTCTACAGATTAACACAATATTTGTGCTGACTTCTTGGACTTAATCTCATAAACTATGTTACCCCGACACGGTCAAATTGGCCCCGTACCCGTGTCGGGTACGTTTTGGGTGCGGATCCGCACCCAAACGGCGGGGACACGGCGATTGAAGGCGTGAAGGGGAAAAAAGTTACGAACCTGAAGAGGGAAGGTAGTCGTGGGAGGAAATGACGATCTTCGAGGGACAACGAGCTGCAAGGGATGACGAGCTTCGAAGGAGGAGTCGACAACGAGCTTCGAGGGAAGAGTCGACGACGAGATTGGAGGGACGACGAGCTTCGAAGAAGTGAACGACGAGCTTAGCTTCGAGGGAGAACATTGAAAACCCTAGCCCTAGATCTCCTAGGACTCGGATCTGAAGGAGGAAAGAGGAGAGGAGCCGATCTCTTGGATCAATCTGAGGCGGCGGATAGGAGCAAAGAGAAAAGCTAGGGTTTTCTTTTATGTTTTAGTTAGAGGGATCTAGGAAAGTTGGGCTTGGGCTTGGGTTTGGGTCCAGGTTAAAAACCAGCTTGGACTTTGGTTTGTTTAAATAATTAGGTGGGCTATTTAACCGGCTTGAGTTTGGGTTTGGGTTTAAAGAGTGAGCTTAGTTCTCAATTTGAAATTAAACATAGTAAAATTGCTATATTTATTGAAATTAAACATAATAAAATTGCTATAGTTAATATAATTATTAATTTTTAATATATATATATATATGAGCCGTGTCCCCGTACCCTACTTTTTACAAATTTGCCGTGTCCCGTACCCGTACCCGTACCCGTGTCCGTACCCGTACCCGTACCTATGCAACCTAGCTCATAAAAGATGTTTACTAGCTTCAGTATGAATCACTTCCTCAATTCTTTTGACAACCTTACAAGTGATCATCATTGGTCATTATGCATATGCCCTAGCAGAAGGTTACACTTTGAAATTTGAAGAGTGTCAGTCCTCAATGGGCTGTTGTAGCACGGAAAATATGTATTTATTGCCTTAAATGAAAAAAATTAATTAGTGTTACTGAGTTTTGAAGATGTTAATATTTTTACGTGCAGCGAATAGTTATTTGTCAATATAGTTTTCCCTTTATAAGTACTCAGTACATTCTTTCAAAAAATTGTCTTAGTGGCTAATCTATACATTATATTGGCGTGGGACCATCTTTTCCGATAATTTTTTATTATCTGATTTTTGAATTTACTTGCTTTGTTGAATGCTTTTAAGTTTACTTTATTTTCTCTGTAAAATGGTTTCATGTTGAATTTACTGCATGTATGTTATGCATGCAACATGTTAGCAACCTACATATTATTGCACATACCTTTGTTTAAGTTCATTACACCAAATACAATATTCTTAGGGGTGACTAAAAGGTCTACGCTTGCTGGATCTATCCGAACCCGACCTGATGCTTCGGGGTTAATGTTCACCTAGTTCTCAATGTGTATGAGTATAGGTGGGGTAGCCTACTGATTTACTAAAATGGCCATGTATAGGTTTGGCTTATGGAGATGGGGTCAATTTCGTGTTTGACCTGCAGTCGAGTAGCCCGACCCATTTCCACCCTCAATTATTCCAAGTGGTTGCCTTACTTTCTTTTATGTTAAGGCAAAGAACTTAATCGTAATATATGAATCATATGTTCTTATCAATCAAATACTACAAATTTAATGCCAGTAACTTCAGCCATTATATGTTTGCCCTTTTGTCTTAATATTTTATCACCATTTTGGGCCTTTATATGATATTATCTGTGACAAAAGATTATAGTAAAAGATTATACCACTATAGGAAAACTAGAAGAGCATTATTACTATGCAGATCAGAATATCGAGCGATTAATGAATAAAATATGCAAACAGTGATTGTTGTAGAGATGAGAATGTTTTGATCGAAGTGTGGATATATGCTAAGAGGTAATAATTGAGTGTATTTGTAGGAGGTTAGTGATCAATCCCCTATTAAAGATAAAATGAGAGGTTCAATTGAGGTAGTTTGGCCCATAGAAGTCGGGAACGTGGTACCCTATAGCGAACCGCGACTAGGGTTCAATCGTCCCAGATTCATGTGGAACACCTCCCAATTCACCAACTTCAGCTACCCGATTTAGAATTCAAACCGGTTAAAATTTTAAAAAAATAACTCTTTTTTAAAGAATAAATAACAAAAAACGTGAGAAACTAAGCAGATAAAGAATGCATATCTTAATTGCAACATGATGCTAAGGTTCTTTTACCCTTATTGATAACAACTGGCATTCAAGAACTGAACCTAAAGCGTACCATGTTCTTTGGCGTATCATATAAGCCTAACCCCCTTGTACCTGATTCCTAATGAGTGGCATACTGCGTTCCTGTACTCATCCGGTGAACCGGAATGAACCGGGTTCCATGCAACCGAACTTTGGCCATGTGCAAGTAGAGGCCGCTGAATGTATAAATTAGGAGAAATGACAAGATTATAATTAGTAGATAAAGGAGTAGGGGTCGACTAAAAGAACTTGGTAGGAAGCATTGATATGATAGTCGTTAACTTAATGGAGGCGATAACTCTAAACGAAATTGAAAGGAAGATGGAAATCAGATTAATGTAGCTGACCCCAAAACTTTGGGGTAAAGGTTTTACCGTTGTTTCTATTGTTGTTTATTTCATCATTCACATTACTGGATATAGCTTGGAATTAAAGCCCCTTGATCAGTGGCAGAGGTATGACTTTGTTCTAGGAGTGGAGCTATATGTAACAAGTTTTAACAAGTTATTAAATCTATAGGTTGTTTATAAGTTAACCATAAAGCCTGGTGTGACCATCACTTTAAGAAATCAGGTTTGCTGTCACAAATGTCTTTTTTTGCATCACATGCAAGCTGTGGTTAGGGTTAGGTTATCAAAGATTTCTCAGGGTTCTTATGGAAATGAAATTGCTTGCTGGAGTAAAACAGATGGTGAGTAGAATCTGTAGGATTATAGTGTATCATATTCTTGATTCTATTTTACTTCTTAATACATGAACATGGATGGGGTTTCAGGCTATTATTCTGCTATTGGTATCATTTGATTCTATTTACTTCCCAGTGAATAACCACAGCTTTGGCTTCAGTTTTCTGTTCTTTTGCCTAATTCATGTGCAGAGAGGCAGCATGATGTGAGGATCGGGAGTTTTGTTCGCATATATTAGATTTTTTTTCAATAGTCACCTTTATTCTTATATATGAACCGGTAAATTTTGTCATTCATGGGAGTAATGGACACTTGCTGCTTGAGAAGCTAAAGTGATCTTTACTCTGCAGCAATTTGACCTTTGAGCGATGATGATGACATTTTATCTGGGTTGAACTAAAGAACAGAAACATGTGAATAGGATTTCACTGATTTGCCTAGAAGATGCTGATTGTTTGCTAAAGAAAGGAAACCCATTGTGTATGTTTTCAG